AACTTGTGGCATCTAGTGCTTAAGAAAGTGGACCTTTATTCTGGTGGTTTATTATTCAGTCCAGCCTCGACTCTAAAATTCATAAGTGTACAAAATAAAAAATGCACCAGGAACTTTTTTTCTTCTCTTACACAGCACAGAGCAAGGAAAGGTCCCAAGTCTTGGCAGTGTCCCTGCCCCCCCCCCTGGATGGTTGGGGGGGGGGGTGTATGTCAGTGTGTGGCATGTAGTGGTTTAGAAATGGACATTTACATTTACCCAAGGGGTTACCCTTGAGCACGGGTCTCATTCAGGAAGCTCAGACTTGCTCCAGTGAATACCCAGCTGTATAAATTGGTCAAGCACAAAACTGTTGTTCGGATGAACTCATCTAATAAGCTGCTAAATAAATAAACAAACAAATAAATAAATAAGTATACAAAATGTTTTCAGTGAGTGCTCTGACAACAACTCTAAATAGACACTGTCTGGGTGAATTTTAATCAGACGCTACATTTGCTGCACAGAAAGCGATGCACCTTTGTTCAAAATCAAAACATGATTTCTTTAGCACTGACAGCATGAAATAATAAATTTAATCATGACGATATGAGGCAAATGATAATCAAGGCATTTACAGAGAAGCAGCTTCAAACTCGGAGTCAGTTTTATGCTAGAAAACGTGTTGAACCAAACAGTAGTAAGAGATTCTCAAAGCAGTTGCGTTCCAGGGATGTTTTCATGTCTGTTGATGATCAGGGCTGCGCTTCTCGCTCTGTAGCGACTAGGAAGCTATCATGACCTGAAATACACTGGCCGCTGTAGTGCTCTCAGGCTGTCAAGACCGAAAATAATTAGGCATCAAAATGAGTTTTTTTTTATTCATGTCATGAAACTCAGGAGACTGGGTAATGTGGTTAACATGCTCACATCATGAATTTTTATTACATCATTACATTGATACAAATGCAGAGTAGAAGAGAGCAGCGTGACTGGAGAATACGGAGAATATGCCTATCTGCAGCACATCACCCCGCTTCCCACAACGCTGCCGCTCTCAAATTTTTTGTGCATTTGTAACAAACACAATGAAAGCCAGGAAATATGTTTTTATGTTGCAGTAACAAAATTTGTACTGGAGTCATAATCGATGCCTGCTGTTTTCAAATTACACGTTTTATGGTTTCTGTGACTGTTATCGGTATTCCTTTAGTGTTTTTTGGACGATTCCCTGGTGGCTCTGACAGACAGGTGGGCTATTATACACAAAGCTGATTGGCCCATCTGTCTTCCTTTAAGTTGCTTTTTATTCTTTCCCAGTGTGTCAAGTAGCCTATGAAGCACACGGCTGAGTTTCATGACCATTACACAGGAAATTTATAATTATTTACTACAATCTTTAAAGGGGCAGAAGTAGGAGACTAACATCGGCTAACATTTTATGGCCATTGCTGTGTCCCATTGGCCTGGCTGTGACCTCTGGTGACCCCGACATTCCACAAAGGAAAGTGTCTGATATTAAAACAGACTGCTTTCATGCCCACATAAGTAATATCATATGCTTCACATCAGAGCACGCTCCATCTAGATGAGATCCCACTGTACACTAAGGGTCACACACATGCATGCACACACGCACACACTCCCGCAAACCTATTTAACGGTGGCAGATGGCTGGAAATAAACGCACTTTTCGAATGCCACCTTTGGTCGCTGGACCCTCTGCACTTACACACGGGGCATATCCGGGCTTTATCAGAACTGCATGCTGACCATCGACTTGGAATCCTGGTTTTACCCACATCCCACAAATGCAGGCCTGTAAACTCCATGTGGAAAAAGGCACAAATAAATGAAAATTTTGGTTCCTGAGTCAAATAGAAGGCCTTTCGCTAATAC